GGTTAGCGTTGCTTAAGTCCATTTGGTCTCTCAGCACGGAGAACCGTCGGAACGGAGAGGCGCCTCAATTCTCCAGCATTCCGCCACCGAAGAAGCGACCTCTCAAAAGTTCCATGGCCAGAGTCCCTTCAAACAGGTCTCTGGGGGGGGGGTGACGAACCTGCGCACCCCCTCCTTTGGCTGGAGCGCAGCTTCACCCCCGGGAGGTCCGGGAGGTGAGTCTGCTCTAGCGCGCCGCCATCACTGGAAACCCTTATCTTTTCATAATACCGTAAACCCTCCTATGTCAACACCAGAGTTACTTTTATGAGTCCCCACCCTACTCAGTTTTGCAGCTGCCAATATTATCCAGTTCTGTTTTCATAGAAAGAAAAACAGGGGAGGAGCGTCAAATAATTTTGTTGTAATTAATGCTTGCAGGGAATGTCTGTTCATCTTCAGAAACAGTACAAAAGTGCTCCCACAAGCAGTCTTTTTATTATCTCACAACTAAATGCCATATGTCACAATGCTAAGGAGTGCTTTGGTAGGGGTACTGCCAGACTAACACAGAAAGACATGTCCTATTATAGTTACTTGGTTATTGTTGTTGTTGTTCAGTCGCACAAGACCGCAGTATTATTCAAGAATCTGAACCCCATCCATACACTAATTTATATTTGGGGTAAAGGCACTTTGGCTAACAGACTAGCAAGATCAATGGCTGATATAATAGCAGCAAAGACTGCTCTCTGGTGGCCCAGATGTTTTGGAACCAGCTAGCAGGAAAAAGTGAAACAGAGTACCAGCCAACATAATGATGCATTCTTAGAAGCTAAATTTAACACCTTATTGGATGCTCAGGAACCAGCTGGACTCCCTTTCATACGCACATCTAAAGATCAAAGAGCAAATTTTGCAGACCTGTGTGTGGCCAAATTAGTACACAGATGAGCATATTCTTAATGGTGCTTTTTATGGTAACTTCCCAGGCAAATTCACCTTTATGGTAGGAAACAGAGCCAGCTCTATTGATTATATGCTAGTGTGTAATTCCTTACTGTCTAAGATCAATAACTTTCAAGTACTTCCCTATTTGGAAGGTGACCATCTACCACTATATTTACAGGCCTTTCTGCCACTCAACCAAAACTATCTAGTGGCCCACTATACAACAAGGGTCGAACTTACTGGTAAAAGAGACAGATGGACCTGTACATTTGTTAGTAAGGTAAAACAAAAACTGAAAACTTGCAGAAATATACCTCAGCATTTGTAAATCTAAATATCAATCAGGATCCCCAATTGCCTATCAGGCCCTAACTCAGCATCTGGCCACTATTCCGACTGTACCAGCAAGCAAGGGATTCTATCAATCACGTAAAAATGTCAAACCTTGGTTTGACAAGGAATGCACCCATGCAAAAAAAGAGATGAATCTTTTATATACTCTCGCTTTAAGTAAGTAACAATTTGGAAAGAAGATCAGAGGTGCAGTCAGCCCTCCTGAGTCAGAAAAAAACTGTTCAAAAGTATTATCCAATGGGGGGGAAGTATGCTATGAGGTTATGGGAGGAAATTATTCAGGCTGTAAAACGAAATAACACCACTCTTTTCTCGAGACTAGCTAATAACAAGAGGTTAAAGTTATCTTCACTGCTAGATTTGTATATTTTCCCGACAGATGGGCTTCCTTCTTCCAGAGGCTCTACGATGACCACACTCAGATTATTTTTTACTGATTCACTAGAGAATCTTCCCCCACAGCCACCAATCAGCTCATGGGAAATAAAAGCCCATATATCTCAGCTAAAAAGTAGAAAGGCCTTGGGATCAGATGGCATCTCACCCGAAGCCATAAAAGAAAATTCAGACTGGTGGGCCCAGTTTCTGGCAGTTTTGTTCACATACATTGATCGATCTGGCCGTATTCCCTAGCAATGGCAGAAGCTATTGTCGGCCATGCTCCCTCTAAGCTCTGGAGTCTTGTGAGCAAAAATTCTACTTTGTGAGCTACTGAGATTAAAGTTATGAGTGAGTGATTTGGCTACTGGATAAATTAGTTTGCTTTGGAGCCATCCCTTCCTGAGCTAAAACAAAAATGTATGAGCTGGAGGCTAAAAAACTGTGAGCTAGCTCACACTAATTCAGCTTAGAGGGAACACTGATTGTCGTCCCTATTTTTAAAAAGGGCAACAAAAAGAACCCTGCGAATTATAGGCCTATCAGTCTTCTAAATATCATTAGCAAATTATATACGAGGCATCTTTTGGGCAAATTAGAAATTTGGTTAGAGCAAGAAGAAATCATTCCAACAGAACAAGCTGGTTTTAGGGCAGGAAGATTGACAACAGAGCACTGTTTGATACTTTTAACAGTGATGTGGAATCGCTGGGACATGTCTTTTTTCGTTGTCCCTTTTATGAAGAACTAAGGGATAAGATTATTTCTCCCCTTTTAGAGAGACCAACAGCTTTCGCGAATAACGCCTGTTTGGAGAAACTATTAATAGACGAGAACCCAACCATCACCAGGAAAATAGCTATGCTTTGTGTTTATGTGACAAAGTTCCACAGTAACCTCCTTTCCCTTGTTATGATCTTAATGGTTTTAATTATTTTAATGTATATTTTAAATGGTATTGTGTATTCACTATATCTTACATCCTATATGTTGGAATCTAATGGAGTTTTCATTTTATTTAGGACTGTTTTAACCAGGGCTATTTTGGGGCAGGAACACACAGGAACGGAGTTCCGGCTGGCTTCAGAGTTGGCCATGCCCACTACAGCCAAAAGCTCTGCGTGTGTGGCTACAGAGGGAAGGCCTGGAGAGTGACGCCCCCCCAGCAACTCCGAGGTGGGTGGGCCAGGGGGCCCCTGGAAGAATCGGGAAGGCATTTAAATGCCTCCCCATGCTTTCCCCGGCCTGTCCAAGGGCCGGCTTGCCCAGGCTCCCCACAGCTGTGGGGTGTCCGGGCAAGCCAAGGGAAGGCATGGGGTGTGGCCTAATATGTTAATGAGCTGCACTGTCATGGTGTGGCTTATTATGCTAGTGAATTTCTGCTGTTGGGTGTGGCCTATTATGCTAATGAGTTCCTGCTGGGCTTTTTCTACAAAAAAAGCCCTGGTTTTAACTATATGTAAATGGTTGCTAATGGTCACTAACCATAAATAAATGAATTAATGGAGTATCAGCCTTTTAATTTTTAGGCAAACATATTAAGTATATTGTAAACAGAAATTAATATGGGATTTTGCTTGTGTAAATTTCATTGTTATAGTACTTGGATTATGAAATTCCATGTAATGGGAATAAAAAGAGATACAAACGATTTATTTTACACACCAATGGAACGTGGTCTATCCTCCACAGCAAATGCACATGCATCAGTGTCTCCATGTGCACATTAGGAAGCCACTCCCAATCTCAGAGCCTCATACTTGCATACAGTAAAATAGACATGCATAAAAATGTCACGCACTTTACCATACACAGAAATGCTGTTTGAGCAGGAAATGAGTTGTATTCAAATGGAGATTGAGGCAGACTCAGCACGGTTTCTGTAAGGGAAGATCTTGTCCCACTAACCTGTTAGTGTTCTTTGAGGGGGTGAACAAACATGTGGACAAGGGGGATCCAATAGATATTGTTTACCTTGACTTCCAGAAAGCTTTTGATAAAGTTCCTCATCAAAGGCTCCTAAGTAAGCTCAAAAATCATGGGATAAAAGGACAAGTCCTTTTATGGATCAAAAACTGGCTAATTAATAGAAAACAGAGAGTGAGTATAAATGGGCAATTTTCTCAGTGGAGGGTGGTAAGCAGTGGGGTACCACAGGGATCAGTACTTGGTCCACTGCTTTTTAACTTGTTCATTAATGATTTGGAGATGGGAGTAAGCAGTGAAGTGGCTAAATTTGCAGATGATACAAAGTTGTTCAGGGTGGTGAAAACCAGTGAGGATTGTGAGGCACTCCAAAGGGATCTGTCAAAGATGGGCGAGTGGGCGTCAACATGGCAAATGGGGTTCAATGTGGCCAAGTGCAAGGTGATGCACATTGGAGCCAAAAATCCTAAATATAAATACACATTGATGGGGTCTGAACTGGCAGAGACAGATCAAGAGAGAGATCTTGGAGTTGTAGTAGATAACTCACTGAAAATGTCGAGACAGTGTGTGACTGCAATAAAGAAGGCCAATGCTATGCTGGGGATTATTAGGAAGGGTATTGAAAACAGATCAGCCAATATAATAATGCCCCTATATAAATCAATGGTGAGACCTCATTTGGAATACTGTGTGCAGTTCTGGGCACCACACCTTAAAAAGGATATTATAGCTTTGGAAAAAGTGCAGAAAAGGGCAACTCGAATGATAAAAGGGTTGGAACACTTTCCCTATGAGGAAAGGTTAAAGCGCTTAGGGCTCTTTAGCTTGGAGAAAAGACGACTGAGGGGTGACATGAAGGACGTCCTTCTTCACCCAAAGAGTGATTAACACTTGGAATTCACTGCCACAGGAAGTGGTGGGTGCTACAAGCATGGATGGCTTCAAAAGGGAATTAGATAAGCATATGGAGCAGAGGTCCATCAGTGGCTATTAGCCACAAGGTATAGCTAGGGGCTCTGGGGCAAGTGATGCTCTGTCTTCTTGGTGCTTGGGGGGGTCAACAGTGGGAGGGCTTCTAATGTCCTGGCCCCACTGCTGGACCTCCTGATGGCACTGGTATTTCTGGCCACTGTGTGACACAGAGTGTTGGACTGGATGGGCCTTTGGCCTGATCCAACATTGGCGTCTCTTATGTTCTTATGTTCTTATGAGATAGACAAACTTCACAAGGGTCACAAAGCACTGAAGAAACTCAGATCTTCTTGATACCATCTCATAGTCAGCTCAAAAATAGATTTCCACACACAAAAATATTTTCACATACATCAAAGTTGCAGCTTACTGGTTATGGCAGAAACACATCATTCTGATTTTTCCACAAAGCATCTTTTACGCGTTTCCTTACTCACCTGTAACGGCATCATAAAATTCCTCTTCACTATTCATCCTTTAAAGTAGTAGTTTATTTCTCTGCCCAAGCAGGTTACTTTCCTCTAACGCATAGCTGCTCTTGATGTGGTAGACCTTTTTCATAAAAATATTTTCCCCCAGTGATCTGTTTGGAGAAAAAAAATGTTTCTCATTTATATACCTGGGACAATAATTTAAAGACCCACATTCTGTGTTTCTCACAAGCGAATACTAAGCATACAATGACATTTCACATCTTCAAAAGAGGAGGCAATAAATTGCGTACTAAATAGTTTTACAGATGTACTGCGACCGCTCTTTCAATTTTAAGATGCTTCGTACTTGCAGATAACAAGAGAATCACGACAACAAAAGTACGAACACACACAATGAAATTGGTTGCACTGGTGGCTCCAGAGAGCAGCTTGAATATAATCCACAGAGGTCTGATGTTTAGCAGACTGCTGCTGGGGGAGGAGAACACTTTGGAAATCCAATTCCATCCCTCAAAATCTCCTCCTAGAGCATTCTGCAGGCTCTCAGAATGCAACATCTTTCAGCAGGGTCAAAGGAAAGCTACAGCTGACTAAATCCATACTCTTAAACATAATGTGCTTCAACACAGTTTCTCAGGGTTTGCTTTCTTGAACCAGTGCCAGGAGTTTTATACACCCTCTTGTCTGTAGTCGTGAAAGGAAGCCAATAATCATCTGGTAAATGCCAAGTCCTTCCGCATTTTATACAATACCTTCCAAGATGAGGAATCAGGCAAACTGAGCAGACTACTGGCCTGTCAAAGCAGAGGAATTTCTTTGAACTTCCCTTTGCTTGTTATGTTCCTTTAGCTGCCGCTCCCATGTTTTTATAAAGCTTTTCAGTAACTAGCCCAAATTATGAAACACATTCTGAGCTAGAGTTCTTATTTTACAATTGGTAAAAGGGTACATGCATTATCTGCAATTTTAAAATTTATTTTTAATCCCATTTTAATTATTGGCATCACTTGCAAAAGAGTTTCAATGCTGCTGTTAAGCCTTCACACACACTTCCTCAAACAATATCATCTTAAGCACCTAACTAGAGGTTACATTTTCCCTGGGGAGATACCCATGTTGGGTAGAGAGGCATGTTCAGCGCTTCCCAGAGAGCCAGCATGATGTAGTGGTAAAGAGCGGTGGACTCTAATCTGGAGTACCGGCTCTGATTCCCCACTCTTCCGCATGAAGCCTGCTGGGTGACCTTGGGCCAGTCACAGTTTTCTCAGAGCTCTCTCAACTCCATATACCTCACTCTTAGCAGTCAGATCCCTCCCGCAGATGGGCAGTTTGGCACAGATGGGCAGTTTGGCACAGATGGGCAGTTTGGCACAGATGGGCAGTTTGGCAAAGGATATGCATAATTTAAACAATGGGTTTCCTGAGAAAACATTACCTCACCTTGCATTAACCTCATTCACACCCATCATACTTTCCCTTACCGATTCACCCTAATTAGCACTATTCAAACAACCCGGTAGCTTCTCTCATCCTGTACTCAACAGTCATCAGGCAACTTTAATGCCCATAGTCTAAGTAAGGCAAACTTGTCACGAATTTCCCAAGATCTTTGTCCACCTCCAAAAAGCCAATCAAGGTATTGTTTGGGGGGGCAAACACGTCAGACAGCCCCAGGGAAAATTTTCCCTAAAACTGTCAGCACTCTGCTCCATAGTGTGTGTGTGTGTGTTCTCAATGCCAAACATACACTCTCACTGATGTGTGAGTCCTCCCCCTCTTCATGAAACGCAGGTCATTTCAATGACCTCCGCAGACCTCGTTCTTCTGGATTAGTAAATATCACCTCTCCAACATCTATCTCCATGCTCCTCCCTTATTTTCCTCTTAGGCAGTTTGCGTGCTTCTGTTTGTATTTTGTGTGTATGCTTTGCTCTTTTATTTTTTTTATAATAAAATACCTTTCTGGTTGAACTTCAGACTGGTTTATTTTGAGAGTTTTCTAAGGGAATATCCTGGTTTACATAGGTGGAGATCCCAAGCCATTTTTACACCGCCCTGCCTCAGGCCAGGACTATGGAATGTGGAGAGAGAGGGGGCTTAGGCCTCCCTCACCCCGGGGTAGGGCTGTGGCTCAGTGGAAGAGCTGCCGCTTTGCATGCAGAAGGTCACAGGTTCAGTCCCTGGCATCTTTAGTTAAAAGGATCAAGCAGTTGATGACATGAAAGACTGACTTTGATTAATCAAGGGTCTGATTCAGTATAAGGCAGCTTCATGTGTTCATGTGTGTGTTCACCCCATTTTTCAGACCCAGAACAGCTGGTGGTGGGGGGTCACCATCTGCCTGTGGAGGTACAACGTACAGCTCATCAGCACACATGCAGCTGCCAAAAGAGCAAATTCACCACCTGCAGGCCATGCCAGGCCAGAAAAATCGCAACGAGGGTGGAAGTCCATGCCCCTATATGCCAGTCTTGATCTGAATTGAATCTGAGCCCAGCTAGGAAGTACGGTTCTTCAGAACACACCTCTCTACCCAGCCTGGAGATGTCTCTGGGAAAGACATAACCTGCAGTCCTAATCTTCTGCAACTTGTTTGTGTTCCTCTCTCCCACTGATGCACACACCACAGAGGCCCAAAGTAAAATAGAAACAGGCTGCTCACCGATAAGTGCTTCAATACTGAGGGGCAAATTAAGGTCAGGACAGAGCAGGGTTATGTAAGCCAGTAAAAATAGAGGTGAATTTTTTTTTTAAAAGAGGGTTGCTTGATAAACCTGGAAGCGGTTGCCAGCACTGACAAGCAACTCAAAGCAAACTGGCCACTCTTGCACACACACCTGCGCAAGAATTGTTTTGATAGTTTTCTCTCAGCAGTTGCCTCTACAGTTGCCTTTAAATGCCGCCCCCCAGCATTTTAAAAAGCAGACTGGGGTAGGAGTTGCTGCTAAAGGTATTCAGGCAAGAATGGCACATATGCTTCAATGACAGCAAACTCCTTTTAAGCTGTCCTTTTGGGAAAGATTGAGAAAGCAGTTTGGGTTTGCAGTTTTGCCAAGTTAGAGCTAGGAGCATGCACTTAGCCGTATGCATCCTTAATTTCACCTACCCACCCCAAATTCCAGTATATTATTAACTATTAAACATTGTATTCCATTCAAAGTTTAAAGAACCTGGAGGAGAAGGGAAGAGGAAGAATGCTAATCATTAGGATTAGAGGAAGAGAACTGATTATTTTCCTTCAGGACACTTGAAAGTAGCAGCTGACCATGCATAAAAAGCATAAGCAGCATCCTTAACTGGTACCCTCCCTGTTCTACCAGGAAACTCACTGGGTGACTTTGAGCCAGCCATATTTTCTCATAGGATTCCCAGGTCCCTTCAAGACGCTGGTGGGGGGATGGGTGGACGCTCTGGGAGCTGGAAGCATCACCTTCCAGGTGATATAGGCACATCAGGGCTAGTTCTCTAGTTTTGGGGCAAAACTCTATGGTAAAACTAGGCTCAAACCATAGAGTTTTGCCCAAAAACCAGAACGTCACTTCTGGGTGACACAAGCATGTTGTGTGTAATGTCACTGTTAGGGAGGATTCCCTCCTGAGGGCACTTTCCACCACCACTAAACCAGCATGCATTTTCTGTCCTTAATTTTGAGGACACAATACAATATCGACATAAGTCGGTTGTGACTTGACAGCTCATGCGAACGTATACAGTATGGGCATTTAACAGTCAAAGTGGTCAAATATCACTATATTTAATAGTAAAGCGGTTGGCCCCTTGAAAAGTCATGAAAGCAATGAAAACCAGGCCAACCACAGAAAAATTGGAAGTCAATACATACTTCTGGAACTCTCCAGGTATGCAGGAAAATGATGTTTAAATTCACCTATAACAGAACTTGGGGTCACCCAATGAAGTTGATGGGCAATAGCTATAGGGCAGACAAAAGGAAATACTTCTGAACTCGATGAAGCAGTGGAGGTAATGATTACAATTACCACAGATGACTTTAAAAGGGGGTTAGACAGATTCATGAAGGAGAGGTCCATCACTGGCTATCAGCCATGCTAAGTAAAAGAAAAATCCATGTTCAGAGACAGTAAACCTCTGAATACCACTGCTGGGAGGTAACAGTAGGGGAAGATCTTGGCCTCTATGCCCTGCTTGTTGGCCATCCACAGTAACTGGTTGGCCACAATGTGAGACAGGATGCTGGACTACATGGACCACTGGTCTTTTCCAGCAGAGTTGTTCCATGTCAACAGAGTGTGACTTTCTTGCCGTTCTAAAAGCCCTCCGAAATGTTGCTTCTGCAAGACAGCAGAAGCCCAGATACAGCATGGGGGGGGGGGGTCTGGGCTTTAGCAGAAGGAGGGATCAGCAAAATTATCTCCCCCTCCATCTGTAGAAAATCTGCTTTGGATCCAAACCCTGGAATGTTGAGAGCAGCTGAGATGCAATTAATGAAAAAAAAGGAATGGAGAGTCTACCCCCTCAAGCTTCTGACAGCACAACAAATGCTTTAGGAGGGTAGAAGGGTAGAACTGGATTCCCAAATTGTCACACACACACACACACCAATTCCTCTCAGGCCCTCAACTTTTTATACTATGGACAATTCTACAGTGTCTACAGTAGACAATATAGTGTAGGAGGTGTGGGCGTGCCCTTTGTATGTAGGCAACATCCACAGATAGGCTGATGCTGGGAACGCGAGGCTTCAGATCTCTCAGTAGGGAATGGCAGGTTAGTTTGAAAGTTGCTGATTTAATTAACATTCTTTCTATGCAAAATTCGGTACTGCACCATTCAGGATGTATGGGATAGTGTGGGATAGTAGTAAAGAGCAGTGGACTCTAATCTGGTTTGATTCATGACTCCTCCTCATGAAGCCTACTGGGCGACCTTGGGCCAGTCACAGTTCTTTCAGAAGTCTCTCATCCCCCACCTACCTTACAAGGTGCCTGTTGTGAGAAGGAGAAGGGTGAGGGGGGGAGACTGGATTCACACCACCTTCACTACCCAAAGGAGTCTCAGAGCGGCTTACAAACTCCTTTCACTTCCCCTCCCCACAACAGACACCCTGTGAGGAAGGTGGGACTGAGAGAGCTCTGACAGAAACTGCTTTTTTCAAGAACAGCTGTGCCAG